AAAAAAAAAAAAAAAAAAAAACTAAAATGCAAAAAAATCCTGTGACTTCAATGCCTAGCAATTATGTGTTGGCCACACCAACAAGATTAGTTCTATCGTTAGAGGAGTTTACGGATCCGTGCAACGTATTATTTTCTCCAGGCCTCACATTTTCCTTTCCACCTCCGGATTTAGGGCTGGGCTTATCCTCTGGGGGAGATATGCGTAGTAAGAATTTGTGTATCATCTCATAACTGGTGAATGTTATTACAGCAGAGGGTGTTGTTCTCAAGAGATTAGTGGCACACCCACGATAAAACCCGGGAATACCTTCCTTTCTCAACACCTTCTTTATGCAATCAATCACCCCTTCATATTGCAGTTCTGTGTTTCGTACTTGACCTTGTTCTTGCAACCTTGAACGGATAACCTGGCGGGAAATTCAAACATCATAACATGACTCAGCATGCTCAATGTTGCTACTTAAGAAATAACGGAGGCACGTAGATCAATGGATGACAAACTTTTATAAGGTCCCCCATTAATAAAAGTTTTCGAGTTTATATAACGAGACAGGTTCTTTTTTCAAAATCAAATTGTAAGGAGGTTTTGAGCTAGTGTTACTGTATTTAGACCATTGGTGAGGTAAATAAAGAAGTCAAGACTAAGGGAAGTTGCGAAACAAAATATTAATTTGAAAAACACCGCTTGTAACTTGTAAGAAAAACCTAATATCGTAGATCTTTTTTACCAAAATACTAATAGGCAGCAGTAAAGACACTAAGAGATGTTTGAGAACAGCTTCTCAGTCAAAACAAACTCTATAATCCAATTAGAAAAGTTCCAAGTGCTTATTATTGAGTTGATCATGCAAAAGTTGTACCTCATGAGGATAAGTCGACACGGAAGCAACTAATTTCGAGACAGACGAGGCAATAGCAACTTCCCAAGGGTTGAGCTCGTTACAGCTTTTATTCTCTTCGAAATCACGAAAGCAAAAGAAAGGCATAATTCAGCATGCAGATAATATAATAGCATCTGAAAAAAATCCCTGTCACACACAATTGATGGGAACACAAAGGGAAGTTCAGTACAAAACAGCAGGAGAAATGGAGAGATTCCTGAACTTACTTTGTTTAGCTAAGTAGAATTTTATTCTTTCATATGCCGGGAATTGGATAGCCACGTGACTGATTCCAGCGAGAGAAGGCAGAAGACCACTGTGCAAGCAATGAGAATCATCCACCAAATAAAATGTTACCCATCTCACTTTTCCTTACTTTAATGTTATTGATAAAATTTTAAATTAAAAACCAATTAGTATCACACGTTACTCCATAAGTTTTACTATTAACAGCCAATTATTACATCTGTGCATTTTACACCGATCACATTTTTCAAATTTTCCCAAAAAGATTTTCATCTCATTCCACTAGCAAAATAGATAAATTTGTTTGAATATTTATCCAATCACTTAACCCGTCTAAAAATTTTGCATTTGACATTAATAGTAAAATTATACAGTTTATGCGTGGAAATAATCTTTTTTCACAAAGGTAATTTAGATGAGGACAGAAATTGTGGATAAAGCATCATCTGTTAATCTAAAAATCTTTCAGAAAAATTTGTAACACTGTTTACTTAAACTTTCCACCAAACAAGAACTAACCTGTACCATCCTCGAAATCCTTCTTCATGAGCTATTCGTCTCAAGGCAGAAAATATGTTCTTGTAAGGAACCACACCTTGCCTCATCCCTTGTGTCTAAGTAAAAAGATAAATACCAAATTAGGTTAAAGCAAAAATGGACAAACAAGTATTACGCAACGCCAAAAGATGAAAGAAAAAAAAAAAATAATAATAATAATAATAATAATAATAATAATAATAATAATAAAACAGCTACTAATAATAATAATAAAGATAGAAAAACCGAATCGATAATAATAATTCAACCTACTTGAAGTCTTGTCTTAACAACCCACAAAGGATTTGTAGTGATGGATGTTGCAGCACCAGCTCCTGCAGCAGCTATCATGTTTGATGTAATTGTAAGCTGGTCCTTCCTACCCTCTGTTTCAGAGCATCAAAAATTAAACAACTGAGTATATTAGAGCAAACAAATAGTTCAAACTGTTCAACTTTGATATAACCTCTAACAAGCCTAAAAATGTGCTTATATAGATAGTTCAGCAAATTTCAATCAGAACGCATTTTGAGGATATATGAAACCTACCATATGAATGTAGCAGTTCTTTCAGGTGCCCGTAAACTGTGAAATATACCTACAAATGATCATTATTCGATAAAATGGAGATATTAGAAGAGAATAATGGACTTACAATAAGTTTGCTTCACTGAAAGACACAAAACAGTTCCAATTTCACAAAATCAAGCCATTTCTTTATCGAAATGAAATGCACATGTTTTGAAGTCACGTCGAATATTACACGCCAGAACTTTAACAATGATCTAAAGTGGACAGCACAAAAGGCCCAATGAAATAGTAAATATTCAAAATTTGAGCATCTAAAAAGAGAACACTCACCGCCCAATTCGGAAGTAATGCTGTCAATGTGGGCGTGAGGCCACGGTACAGTCCCTTCATACCTTCATTCCGGATTATATTTTGCAGACTGACAAGAATAACACTGCCTAACCATCACCCGAAAAATGCATAACATAAAATACTCCACCGGTAATTCTGCATAAGAATGCTTGAACTAGAAAAGTTCATATTATTATGGTCCACTAGAAGATTAGAGTCCCAATCTTGGTTTTCGGTAGACTAGTTTTGAACAAAAGTTCACATGATTGTTTCTTCTTAATTACTCATTCTTAATGTCCATAGCAAACAATAATGAATGAGATTTTTGTTTGGACATATCATTCAGTAAGCCGATCACACTCCTCTACTCAAATATAAACTGCACGATTCAAGAAATTTGTAGAGCACGAGTAAGCAGCTCAACTCAGTCAGTAGCAAAAACCCATTCCATAGTCTAAGCAATGTAATAAACAATCAAGAAAATATAGAAATTGGAGTCATTGCAAATACACCTCGAGTGCCAGAAGCGTTCATTTCAGGCAAGCCATGGACTTGAAGCCTGGTCTTTATCACATCCAATGGACAAACAAATGTAGCTGCAATAGCACCTGAAATTCAATAATTAAGGGGAAAAACAGTTTACTTCAATATTAGCGCCCAAAAACAGAAAGAGTGACAAAATATCGGTGAAAATGGCAGTACAAAATGAGTTGGTGAATACCCGCGGCGGCACCAGCGGAGGCATCGAAAAAGATTTCTTTCGGGCTCCGGCGGTCGCCGGAGTTGGCAGCGGCGGTCATATTCAACAATTAAATCTCACCGATCCTCACAGCAGTTTATCATGTATCCATTATATAAGCCGCAAACAAACCCATCGAGGTTGAATTTGGGGCCGTGGCGGACACTTTCTGTTGAATTGAACGGAAATCAGTGTTTCCCGTGTTTGAACAAATCACTGTGTCTGTGCGTGTTGCTGGGTTTTCAATTTTTCATTAAAAAAATCATTTCTAGGGTTGTGTTTCACTTTTTAATT